TGCCATAGCGGAGTTGGTATTAATTAGAAATAACCCTGTGTGATACTAAGTTACTGAGATTTGGGGGTTTTTAGTATGGTATAACCTTGTCTACCCTGACTAAATGAGACAAAGGAAGGTGCAGTCCTCGTTACAGAGCTACAAACTAGCCAACAGTTGTGTGCTCGGTGACCCCATTCAGGAATGAAGTGCTTTTATAATGGCAAGGTCATCTAGTGCTATATATTAATGACAATTTTTAAATGGTAGTCATGGGAGATTATTTGACAAAAACATATTGTAGAATTACAAATTACACCATTCAGATTCGGTTTTAAGATAAACAAACCAAGGAATCAAACTAATTTTTGAACACCAAATACTATATTTAGAAAATTTTATATTCACATTAAACTAACTCACCTTGACTAACACGTCATGTAACACCAAACAAATTTAATCAGCAGGACAAAGACAAAAAAAGGAACAATTAATTAGAAACCTGTTAATATTCACAGTGAAAATTGACTTAAATCATTACAAATTTAAAATAAAATTAGCTTTCATGTAATAGCTAGTTTACAGACTAGTTTACTGTTTATAATTAATAAGCTGTTTAATAACACTACTAATAAAATAATGTCAATATTTTCTGAACCCACATATACATATTCCCTACTGTCTATTAATAAAGTGGATTAAGCAGATTACGAACTCTTACTTGTCACTGATTAAAATCAGCTTAAACTCTGAGGAAACTATTCTCACAAACGAAAGATCAGAATTCTGATTTAAAAAAAAAAAAAAGACACTAAAACAGTTAGAAAGGGAATGGATCCATTATCCTACCATGATGATATTCAGGTTTTTAAATTTAACATTCAATTATAACCGTTATTCTTATAATTCAAGGATTTTTCACCTTTAAAATTTCAGAAAATCCCTAAATTTTTCAGAAGAGTTTCCAGAATCATTGTAATTTTGCAATGATACTAGTTAATTTTTCTACTGTCTTCATTTTCCATTTTTAAAGCTCAATAATGAAATTACTGTAAATTATGTTTACCTTGGCACAGGTGGAAGGGCTCGTGGAGGACGCTGTGGGGGAAAAAAAGAAATTTGCTTGTAAGTAAAAGCCTAGAGCATCTTTACTTCATGTATCCCAAACACCATAAAGCTATTCTTTTTTTTTTTTTCTTTTTTTTTTTTTTTGAGACAGAGTAATTGCTCTGTGGCCCAGGCTAGAGTGCAATGGCACGATCTTGGCTCATTGCAACCTCCATCTACTGGGTTCAAGCAATTCTCCTGCCTCAGCCTCCCAAGCAGCTGGGATTACAGGCACCCACCATCATGCCCGGCTAAGTTTTGTTTTTTTAAGCAGAGATGGGTTTTGCGATGTTGACTCTTGACCTCAGGTAATCCGCCCACCTTGGCCTCCCAAAGTGGTGGGATTACAAGAGTGAACCACTATGCCCGGCGAAACCACTTCTTTCAAAAGTCTGTTGTTCAGACATGACAGAAAAATATAATGGATCGGACCAGGATCTTCAGATCTCTTGATAATCTCGTTCATCAGTGAAACCTGGGAGGTACTGATGAGAAACATGGGCAATTTAAAATTTGTTCTCCCATTCTAAATTTCATATAAAATTATTTCCTTCCTACATTCCTTTCTATCTCTAGGCCAGGCCCTTTTCTAAGCATTAGGAGTACACTAATGAACAAAACGGAGAGAACTCTGCTTTTATGGAACTTACATTCTAGTGGTTATTAGAAACAAGGTTAAATATATATAATATATACTATATATTATATGCAGCATGTGTAACATATATATGCTATATTTAAGACATATATCTTGTATACATACCTTGTGTAATATATACACAAACACAAACACACAAAACGTAATGAATGAAGGAGACTGAGTGCTACTTTTGTTAGGGAAAGTTTCTCTGAGATATTTGAGCTGAGACCTGAATGAGAAAGGAGCAACCGGAACAAATGCAAAGATTTTTAGGTTAAATTGGGCCTGGAATATTTCAGGTAAAAGGACAGCAAGGCTGCCGCACAATTACCAAGGGGGTAGGCAGGAGCCAGATTTAATTAGGGCCTTGCAGACCAAGGGAAGGAGTTTGGATTTTGTTTTAATTCAATGGGAAACCAATGGAGGTTTTAAACCACATACTAACACAAATTTTTAAAAGGCCACTTGAATATACTGGGAAGAATGCGTTTTAGGGCAGAAAGAATGGTGGGGGGAACCCTTCTAAACGCTCATTTATATGAATAAGAAAAGTGTTTGCAGTTCAGAGAGCATTACAGTTGAGAAGTATTTTCAGAATCAGATACTAAGAGAAATGCCTAGAAGCCAATTTAATGTTCCAAGTATCTCATGCTGCTTGCACAAGACATTTATTCAAAAGGGTTAAATTTTAGACATTTTTGTAGTTTGTCCCATTTAGCAATCCATTCGTTCGAACAGTAGATTAATGCAAGTACTACAAGATTAGGACGAGGCAAGCTCCCGTAATACCATCCAGTAGTCAAAATTACAACTGGAAAAGAATGACAATCACGGGAACGCGCTATTGTTCTACAGATGCTACGAAACGCGCGCGATCGATCCAAGGACTCAGTTCACATAACTGATTTCAAAAGTCCCGCAAAAATGACGTTCCACCCACCAAGAGACCCAACCTCTACTCCTCAAAAGTAGGACGGCTCAACTGAAGACAAAAATCCTAACAACTAAAAGTAGCTGAGGCTCGCTTACCACAGGATTCTTTCCCATTCTGTGTTTAGCCGGCCTCGGCAGCCGCCGGCCCGCAAGCACAGGGCGCCCCACCCCTCCCGGCTCTGTCGCGCGCGCAGGCGCAATGCGTCATCGGGCAGCGCCGCCGGGCTAGTAAGCGGCGCGCAGCGCCCGGTGGGTATGTTGGGGTGAGAGGCACGCAGGGACCTGGATTGGCCAGTCCAGACTAGCCCTGCCAAAAAAGGGCCTCTGAGTTGGGGTAATGTGCCCAGGAGCAGAGATTCGGCGACCGTGGCGCTGCAATCGCAGCTTTCCCGTGGTTTCCTAAGTGGTCGCGGTGATTTGTTTGCAGGGAGCGAGGCGTGAGGGAAGACCTTGGTTAAAGGACTCCGCAGGCAAACAACGATCTCTTCTAGGCAGCTACTGCCCTCTCGGAGTGGGAGTCTATGAGAGGCCTTGCTGGAAGCCCCAGCACCCGCCGGGCGCTGGGCCTCAGAGAAGTGAGGCGTCGTCGTGGCAACGCGGGCTCAAGTCGCCGCAAACTTCATGCCAGGCCTCTCTCCCTTACTCCGGGAGTTCGGTCCCGGCCTCGCCTGGGTCTCCGTCCCACTCTTGTGAATGCTGGAGGGGCGGACGCGCGCACCCCATGAGCAAGGCTCTCCCTTAGTGATCCCCAGCTCGTTAGCGCCCCCCACACACACCCACCCCCACCCCGCCAAGTGTAGCTGTTTACCCGCCATCTCTGGAGGCCGACGCGCCCCTCGCCGCTCACCAGGTGGCCCTCCTGCAGCCGAGCCCCCGAGTCAGCCCTCATAGTGCTCTCCCCGGGGCTTCCCCGGCGCAACCGCCGGCGGCCCGAGCCCAGCTCCCCGCGACGCTGCAGCCTGCGGGACGCCGGGGCTTCGTGGCGCCTGGCGAGGCCGCCTCCCGGTGAGCCAGGTCCCCGCCCGCCTCTGCCCTGCCAAGCATTGCTGGGTTTGGGACGAATGTGTTTACTCTCTAGGACCAACGAGTCTGTGCGGGCCTGGGTGTGTGGATGTGTATTAATATAGGCAATTCTCACATTTTCTCCGATTGCTTACCCTTCATCCCACAACTGTGTAAATCAAATTTGGAAAAACTTTTTCTTGAAGAACCTTAAAATCAAATCCGACCTCACATAAATATCACTACAAACTACTTAATTTGCATAGTTTTATTTGGTTAGGTTTTTTTTTTTTTTAAGATAACTTTCACTTTAAGTAACAGAACTACAAATATTTTGAATCATGCATTCTATTTTACAGTTAAGAAAGAGATGGGAAAGATGGAAGAATGGTGTGGATATGGAGAAGACAATGATGCAGAAGATGAACAGATACAGGGACAGGGAAAGTGCCTGGAAATCTCAAATCTGGGGGAAGAAAGAGAAACAGGACTTTGTAATGGCATCCTAATCTTGTTACCAAACAAACGGGGTTTGTTGCCCTATATGCACAGAAGCCAATATTATGATGCTGGTTTTTTGAGAAAAGTTGTTATTGCGAGTCAACTAACAAGGAGACAGGAGTATAGCTCTAATCTGTCTCCCTGTGCTGGCTTTAAGACAGTATTTTTATTAGAAAAGGTTTAGGGAATGGATTCTGGGATTAGTAAGTGATTGGTGGAAGGAAAGAAGCCATCTGGAAAATCTTCTGGCGTTCGCGGTTACCTTTTCATGTCCCTTCATGGGTCGCATGTGCAAATTTTGGAGGGAATCAGTATGAAACACGGGGGAAGACTCGAGCTGTAATGCCAGCAAGCTCATTTTGTACAGACTTCAGGTAGCCATCCGTGTTAGCCCTAACCAATTTCAGCCAGTTTGCTTTATTTTGTTTTTTAATCTCACAATGGAAGAAGTTTAGGCGTTTTAGCAAATTGTTTTTTATCTGCTGTCCTGCACGCTCAAGAATTTCTGTTAGTCCCTGGTTTCTTTAACTGTGAGACACGGTTTCAATCTTGTGATTCTTCTATATATAGGTCTCCAGGACTAATCCATTGCCTTTTCTAATTTAGGCATGCATATAGATATTGGCTGTAAGGAAAATTCGTGTTTGTCACACCTCTGATGAGAATAATTTTTTCCTTGTAGGCTGATTTGTACATAGTGAAGGCAGTGCAGTTTTTTGTAGGTTTTGATTTTAGATGTGAAATGTGCATATTAAACCTTTCTTGCTGAATTAAGTAAGCACTTTTGGTAAAAGATGTTTTCATAAAACACGTTTCATAGAGTAAAATACAATTTCTGAAGTTAAATATTGCTTATTATATTTAGGAAAGCTCTTTATTTAAATCTTTAAAAGATATGAAATCTGCAAAAGGTTCTCATACTCAGTGACTTAACATTATTTATGTTTCTACTACAGCTGCATATGAGATAAAGGAAAAAACAATTTTTTAAGAGCCAAATAGGTAACTACATAACCATACAATAAAAATTTTTTCAAATAAGATTAATTAATAAACTACTGCACTTTTAAAGTTGTACACATTATAATGGGTCAAATACTGCTGTTTTAGATTGCAACTGTGGATCGCTGTAACAAGGGCACAGTGTTAAAACTCCAGCATTAAACAAGAAGTCTCATTAAGACTCAGTATCTGAGGAAATCCATGTTGCTGGTACCCACTGAGGCTCCTCCTGAGCCTTCTGTATGGCAGACAACAACTGGGCACATGCATCATGCAAGCTGTCATTCACAATCACATGATCAAAAAATTGGCCAAACTGAGTTTCCATTCTTTGGGCTAAATTTTCCATCTCTTGTAGGTCTTCATCCTTTAGGAGAAATAGAAAAATATGGATAGTACAGACTTAATTGGACAAATGGAAAAAATACAGTTTGTTATGCTGTCACATTCAGTCGTGAAACTACTTATAAAAACAGTAAGGTCCGCAAATTTTGCACAGATGATTTTTAATAATGTTTAAAACATTTTCTCAAAATTCTACAAAGCTAGCTAACTAGAAAATAGTAATTTTTTTACCCTCTGTTAATTGAAAGAATGTTGCTAAATATAGGTAAAATTATTATTATTTTTAGACAGGGTCCCACTCTATCCCAGGCTGGCATGCAGTGGCGTCATCTCAGCTCACTGCAGCCTCTGCCTCCCAGACTCAAGTGATCCTCCCACCTAGGCCTCCCAAGTAGCTGGGACTATAGGCACATACCATCATGCTCAGCTAAGTTTTGTAGAGAAAATGTAATTATTATAAAAGGTATAAACATATCCTTCCAAATTAATGTAAAGCATAAGCAAAGCTGGGAAAAATATATCACTATCCACAGTATGTCATCCTTTATTTCTTAGAAATGTATTACTGAGATAAAAGAAATTTTAATTTGTAATTTTTTAAAAATAATAAAAGACTGAAGTTTTTATTTTTAAAAAATGAGGTCCAATAAATGTCTTCTAAACTACAAAACTTATGTTTTAATCTTTAATCTTAATGTCTGGTCATGTTTTGCAAAATTTAGTAATAGTTTGCAGACAGATTACTCCCCTCAACTTCCCATATGAACTTATTTTACTCCTTCCTAAACACTTGAAACTCTTTAACCATATACAACATAAAACCAAAGAAAATGTACCAGTTTAAATAAAATTTAAACATAAATTTCAAGTGAACATTAATCTGATAGGAATAGCATTATTTTAAAGATACAAAATGGCCACTTTCAACATGAGGATGGTATAAGCCTGTTGTATTACTGTTTCTACTATTGTGAAATGTTCATTTAATGAAGGTAAATTGGCCTTCACTTGGCACTAATGCATTAAATTCATTGCTGTTATTTTCTTATTAGTTCACGAAAAAATAGTACCACTTGTCACCAGTTCAATCTGAAACACAAATACAAATGCAGGCACCAAAATCTTGTGGCTTTACAAAGTGACCATACATATGATCCAGAAACAATTTTGTTAATTTGTTTAGACTGCCATAAAAATGAGAACAATTTTAAATGCCCATAAGACTCAGCAAATACATTCATGGACTCCACTGTTCACAAGGCAAACTGGAAAATCAGACCTCCAGAGTCATTGAAAAAAATATGAAAATAAAAATAATAAGAGAAAGGATAATTTAAAGATACCTGTGCTTGCTTTGGCAGCACATATACTAAAACTGAAACAATGCAGAGATTAGCATGGCCCTTGTACAAGCATGACATACAAATATTTAGTGAATCATTCATAGTTTTAGTTTCAATTTTGCCAAGTAAATAAATTCTGGAGATCTGTTTCACAACAATGTGAATATACTTAACACTAAATACTAACACTGAACTGTACACTTAAAACAGTTAATATGGTAAGTTTTATGTATTTTTACCACACATACACACACACACACACACACACACACACACACAAAATAAATGGCTGTAATATCTTAATCTAGGTGATAGTTATCTGGGTGCATACACACCTAAAAACTCATTAAACTGTACACTCTATACACCTTACTGAATGCATGTTATGACTCACAATATTTAAAGTGTATTTCATGTAAAATATATGTATGCAACTGGAAAAAAATCACTTGTTCTAGGATGAGATCACTGATTAATTTCACCTGGCTTGCCCCCTCTATTATTACCATCATCATTTTACAGATGAGATATACTCACTGAGCATTTTTAAAGTAAGCTTTTAAGTAAAAGATAATCTGTTTAAAATACAAATACTAGGTTCATATATGCCCAATTTCTGTTTGGCTTTGCAAACTATGGCTCAAGGATTTTTTTTTTTTTTTTTTTTTTTTAGCTAGACCCAAAAAAATAAGAAAGAAAAAAGTAAGGGTAGCATCATAGCATTTATTAAACTTTATTTTTATATCTGTAAGTGATGTCCCTCCAAAAGGATAAATCATAAGGGCATTATCCATTAGAAACAAAAATTACATTCTCTAACACAGATCCTGTAGAAACAATACAGTTTTAAATTTTGCGTTTCCTGTTTGTTTGTTTGTTTTGTTTTGTTTGTAAAATAAAACCAGAGTAAACCATATTATTGAGGGCCTTTTGGGGAGGGGGTCAAAAAGGAGGAGGAGGACAATGAGATCAGAGATCCTTGGCCCGACCCAACCCAGATCTCTCCCACGCAGAAGTCACTGAAAGCAATACAGTAATTTTTGACTTGCTCTTACCTTGAACTTCATGTCCACAAAGTAGTCAGTAATAATCTTGGCATTTTTCCGAGATTGTTTCATACACCTCATATTCGATGGCTTTATAAATATGACATAGGGCTTCAGTTCATGAGTTCGAACCACTTGAATATCCTACACAGAAAATTCAAATGCACACTTATTTTTTGTTTGTTTTGAGACATGGTCTTGCTCTGTCACCCAGACTGGAGTGCTGTGGTGCAATCACGGTTCACGGTAGCCTCAACTTCCCAGGCTCAAACAATCCACCCATCTCAGCCTCCCTAGTAGCTGGGACCAGAGGCACATGCCACCATGCCAGCTATTTTGTTTTGTTTTGTTTTGTTTTGTTTCGTTTTGTTTTTGAGAAAGAATATCATTCTGTTGCCCAGGCTGGAGTGCAGTGGTGGGATCTCTGCTCACTGCAACCACCGCCTTCCCAGTTCAAGCAATTCTCGTGCCTCAGCCTCCCTAGTAGCTGGAATTACAGGCTTGTGCCACCACGCCCAGCTAATTTTTGTATTTTTAGTAGAGATGGGGTTTTGCCAAGTTGGCCAGGCTGGTCTCGAATTACTGACCTCAGGTGATCTGCCTGCCTCAGCCTCCCAAAGTGCTAGGATTGCAGGCATGAGCCATCACGCCTAGTCCCAGCTAATTTTTTTTTATTTTTTATTTTTTGTAGTGATGGATTTCACTATGTTGCCCAGTGGGGTCTCAAACACCTGGCCTCAAGAAATCCTCCCATCTCAGCCTCCCAAATTGCTGGGATTATAGGCATGAGCCACTGCACCTGACCTAAATGCACATTTAAAAACAGAAGTCCTAACTTTCTAGAGTCAACAGGAAGCTTCTCAAAATTTCTAAGACCAGAAATTAGCAATTATTTTTAGAGTATCATCTCATGTGCCCCCAACTGCTCAATTCTTAAAAACAAATGAACATTTTAATAATTTGACGGCCGGGCGCGGTGGCTCAAGCCTGTAATCCCAGCACTTTGGGAGGCCGAGACGGGCGGATCATGAGGTCAGGAGATCGAGACCATCCTGGCTAACACGGTGAAACCCCATCTCTACTAAACATACAAAAAACTAGCCGGGCGAAGTGGTGGATGCCTGTAGTCCCAGCTACTCGGGAGGCTGAGGCAGGAGAATGGCGTGAACCCGAGAGGAGGAGCTTGCAGTGAGCTGAGATCCGGCCACTGCACTCCAGCCTGGGTGACACAGCAAGACTCCGTCTCAAAAAAAAAAAAAAATAATAATAATAATAATAATAATAATTTGAAGATGGAGTTTTAGAATCAAAATTAAGGTCAAATCCTGACTCTTACTAGCTATGACTAGCAATTGAAATCTTACTAGCTGAGCAACAGTCTATTGCTCAGTCTATTCTAACATGAAAGAATCTCATTTACTGAGAGTAGGATTCTGTACATGATCTCATATGACAAAGACAGACTCTCAAGATGGATCAGCTCTGTTTCACCTTCACTTCCCTTTCCTCTTGCTATTATCTCACATTGGATACTACTGCCATCTCTTTTCCTCTGATTCTCTAGCACACAAAGTGTATTTCTAATGACAAAGAAAACATGGCTGGGCACAGTAGCTCATGCCTATAATCCCAGCACTTTGGGAGGCCAAGGCAGGTGGATCACTTGAGCCCAGGAGTTCCATTGCCAGACCAGCCTGGCAAACATGGCAAAACCCTGTCTCTACTAAAAATACAAAAATTAGCCAGGTATGGTGGCTTGCACTTATAGTCTCAGCTACTAGGGAGGCTGAGGTATGAGAATTACTTGAACCCAGAAAGCGGAGGTTGCAGTGAGCCGAGATCACGCCACTGCACTCTAGTCTGGATGACAGAGCAGGACCTTGTCTCAAAAAACAAAACAAACACAGACACACACACACAAACACACACGAAGAAAATACAAAGATCACAAAAATTGGGCCTATGGATTGCATGTTCTTTATCTTACCTTAACTTGCTCACCCCTGCTCCATTCTACATGTGGTCTCAGGAAGGTAGCCACAGATATGACAACATAGAAACCTCACCTCCTTGTACAAAGCAACATCTTATTCACTCCACAAGAAGTGACCTTGATGCCTTTGTGATCAAGGTTAAAGCAAGAAAGATTCTTGCTTCTCTTTGTGACCACCCACTCAGTTCTGCTTTTCTGTATGAGAAGCAAGACTTCTTTCCCAACTAAAAGCAAAATGTTTTAAATTGACACATTAAGTAAGATCTTGGATATGAGAAATGGCCTTATTCTTAAAAGGCTAACAGAATAAATGTCTCAACTATAACCTACAGCATGTGCACAAAAAATGGATGATATGCATTCATTGTTTGGGGACATAAATATTCCACCATGGACCCACCTGAGGCTCTAAGTCCATGACACAGATCTTTCTTTCATCAAGGACTGTTTGAACAGCATCCACACTAGTGCCATACAGGTGGCCTTTGTACTCACCATACTCCAGCATCCTGCAAGGGCAGGCCAAACAAAACAGAACGCTTTCTACAAAGAAAATATTATTAGTAGTAACATGAGGATAAACTGCACTAGAGTTGAATATAAATACGTGGACTTTATTAGCACAGAAAAAATGAATAGATATTCAAGAGGTGAATAAAATGAGCATATCTAGAGTTTATGTATTTCCTCAAATTCTCCAAGGTTTGCAAACTCCATTCTGCTCCCTTTCCAAACCTAGTGAGTTGGTATGCTGATATATCAATGTACATTTCATGCTTAACTCCTCAGAAACAAAACGAATTACCCAGGAGCTTTGGAAAATACATAAAAATAGGGAATCTATTTTGAATGTAAAACAACAAGAGGCAAGAATCAGCTTCTGAACCTCCACTTTACCTGTGACTATATATGAGGCTTTCAAATGTTTCCTTGGACACATAGTGATACTCACGCCCATTCATTTCATAACTCTTTTTAGTACGAGTAGTGTCTATCAAAAAAAAGGGAATGAAAGGTTTCGTTGTCTTCAAAATTCTTTGATTACCAATATACATTTAAATAAAGATATCTAATCAAAATAAATAAATGAATATATAATCAATTAGATAAAATGCTAGAACTAAAAAGAAGAAGCCTGAATTGGTGATAAGTTCTTATATCAAAATCAGTTAGTCTATAAACCTTTATTGAGTGCATATGGTGCAAAAAAGAATGCACTAGGTATTAAGCCAACATAAGAAAGACCTAAGGTAACACCTGTTATTACTTCAAAACAAGTGCTAGTGAATTATGTGTGAACCTTTAGATGCCTAAAGGCTCCCAGGTAGCAATACCAATAATATCTTACATTTGGATAGTGCATTTCCCATCATCTCATTTCATCTTCCACACTCCTATCTTAGGTAAACTGTTAATATCTATATTTTACTCATAAGTGAAGCTTTTGGAGAAACTTGCTCACATTCATAAGACTGATGAAAAATGAAGTTGAAATTAGAACCTATGTGTTCTGACTCCTCCTAGATGAATGTTTTTTACAACAATAGATGCTCAAATTTGAAATGGAGAAAGCCCATGACATTCTGCAATCTTGACCAGATGTATTAATACCCAAGTGAGTGGTGATTCGTTTTAGGGATCTCTAGGAGGGAAAGGTTAGCTGTGTCTTTCTTAGAATTAGATTCAGTCTGATTCTTTGATATGGCCACTTTGATTACAGACTCTTCAACTTAAATAGTGACAGGTCATATAGAATATAGGAATTCATCAAATATCTAAAAGTTATTTGTTGTCTGCTCATTCACGTATTCAGCTAGTGTGTACTGAGTGCCTACTATGTTCCAGGTATCATGTTAGGTTCTGAAAACACAAAGACGAGTAAGACAGTTTCAACTCTGCATCCTATACACTATAAAGATAGTCCCTTAATCTACATTACCACCAGTTCCCTTATTTATACAGAATTTGTGTATTTGCATCTGACAAAGTTTAAGGATGAAATAGATCAACATCTGATGATATCAATACATGGAAATGATCAAGTAGGAGCTCGAAACCAGCCTTAAATTATCAAAGGAGTTACCAACTTTCAAGGGGGTCTAAAAGCAAATGTCATCTTGGGGTCATTTTTGTATTTTCCTTATTCAAGCCTCTCATCAGATCCTTAGAGTTCCTACAGTTACATCACATCTCCCACAGCTTCCTACTTAAAACAAAATTCTAGTGAAACTTTATAGCTCTCAGGTGATAGTGAATTACATCAGTCTAAACCCAAGATGACTCCTTCTCCTTTGCTTCCATTGGACTAACATTCATATGGTAGGTTAAAGTCTGTGAATTGATGCATAACTTGAGGTATCCATTTTAAGCTTAAAACTTCCATTTAAAAAGCAAAATATGAGAGTATTTTCTCATTTTGAATGATTAAAATTCTACATTGACATTCTTAAAATTCTTCTATATTCTGTGGGCATTTTATTTTTATTCAGACTATCAGAAAATGGTGATTTTGACCAGGGGCGGTGGCTCACACCTGTAATCCCAGCACTTTGGGAGGCCAAGGTGGGTGGATCACCTGGGGTCAGGAGTACAAGACCAGCCTGGCCAACATGGTAAAACCGCATCTCTACTAAAAATACAAAAATTAGCTGGGCATGGTGACATTCACCTGTAATCCCAACTACTCAGGAGGCTGAGGCAGGAGAATCGCTTGAACCCAGGAGGTGAGGTTGCAGTGAGCTGAGATCATGGCACTCCAGCCTGGGCAACAGAGTGAGACTCCATCTCAAACAAAACAAACCAAACAAACAAACAAAAAAAAAAAAAAAAAAGGAAAACGATGATTTCTTTGGTAGTTTTTGTTTTTGAGATTAATGCCCATTCCTGTACATGAAAGCAGTACTTCAGAAACCACAGCCCACGGGATGCAATCATAAAGCAACTTCTTGGTCTCCCACGGCCCTTCTGTGAGGCAAGATCTTCCCCAGCCCCTGCATAAAATCCTAGCAGTTTCCTGGCTAGGCGCCGGTGGCTCACGCCTGTAATTCCAGCACTCTGGGAGGCTGAGGTGGGCAGATCACTTGAGTTGCAGGAGTTTGAGAACAGACTGGCCAACATGGTGAAACCCCGTCTCTACAAAACTATAAAAATTAGCTGGGCATGGTGGCGGGTGCCTGTAATCTCAGCTACTTGGGAGGCTGAGGCAGGAGAATCGCTTGAACTCGTGGGGCAGAGGTTCCAGTGAGCCGAGATCGTGCCACTGCACTCCAGCCTGGACGACAGAGCGAGACTCCGTCTTAAAAACAAAAACAAAAACAAAAACAAAAAACAACTAGCAGTTTCCATGACTCTTTCACTCAGGTTTAATTTTAAAAGTCTATCATCACTCATGCCACAATTTCATTTTCATCAGCCAGTCTCAACTGACTAATTAAAATTCCATTCCCACATAATCATCAAAATTATAAACTTCACTTAGATTTTAGGCTGCTTCTCCACACATCTGGCTCAAATTTGCTGCACCGGGGAAGCCTATGCTCAGAGAAGCCAGACAAGAGCATGAGTCACTTCTCTTTCCTTTCATTGTATTTCTACTGCTCCTGCTTCTCCCTCCCCTCGATAAATCTCACTTCCACTGGTTTAGAACTCTCTAAGGCTAGAGTGCGGGGAGGGAGAGGAAAGCAGGAAGGAAGGTTCTGGTTTGGCAAATACTGATTCTGGCTGCTATTGGCTTTCTTTAGATTTGGCAGATGCTTAAATCTGGCTCTTTCTCTCCTAAACCATATATTGGGTTATTTTGCAAACCCTATCACCACCACCACAAGGCCTCTCAAGCCCATTCCTATTCCAGTTCGTTGTCTGTGATTCCTACTAAAGCCAGATATATTTGGGAGTCCACTTTTGGCCTTTTTCTCCTCAAGCTTCCTCCTGGGCAGGAATCCTATAACCCTGGGCTGACTTTCTTATACATTACCTGCCCAGATCTGCTCCTTGGGCAACATCACAAGTCTAGCTGTGATGGACCCTATGAGGACAGCTACTTGCCAAATTATAGCCATTGGCCACTTCCTGTAAGCTCTCCTCCTTTGGATTTTTCAGGTATAATTTGGACACCATTTTTCTGTGTCCCCCAAAGTTCAGGGGACACAAAGAAAGCTCTCTAAGTGGTCCCCCTAGGTTCCTCTGTCTTGCCTTGAGGGGAGGGGGGAGCAAGCACACCCACACACTCTTTCCACACTCAGCGGGTCTGGAACATGCAGCACGGCTCTCTCCAATAAAAGCCTCCCTGAAATGCCCTCAGGAATCTCCCTCCCCAAGCCTTTTATACCCTCGAGATGTGTGAGGAATTTAACTTGTTTTCACATTCCTCATTTAAAGATGTGCATCTTAGTGCCTCAGTCAAAATTTTAACTTCCTTTTACACATATTAGAAACTATGCATTATTACACATTATTATAAACATGCATTATTATGAACTTTCTATTTTCTTGAAATCAGGATTTCTATCTCAAGTCTTGATCTTTTCTATTTTTACAATAAAACAGCTTTTCTTAGAGTGATTTTAAGGATAAATCTCAGTATGAAACAAATAATTTCTTCTATTTTTAGAATTGCAGCTCTCAAATGTCTTAAAGCTTAAAAAAAACCCTCATATAACAACTCTAAATAGGTAAAAAATTCACACAACTCTACATAAAGTCTGGAAGATTGTGTTTTAGGAGTTGGTTTGGAGCTGGTAGTAGTGAAGGGGGAGCTTAGGAGAAACAGAGGAGTTATGAGTAAAAGAAAATAAGAAAACACTTTTTTTTTTTTTGAGTTAGCCTCACTCTCTCACCCAGACTGGAGTGCAATGGCGCCATCTCGGCTCACTGCAACCTCTGCCTCCCAGGTTCAAGCAATTCTGTCTCAGCCTCAGCCTCCTGAGTAGCTGGGATTACAGGCATGCAGCACCACACCCAGCTAAATTTTGTATTTTAAGTAGAGATGGGGTTTCACCATGTTGGCCAGGCTGGTCTTGAACTCCTGACCTCAGAAGATCCACCCACTTCGGCCTCCCAAAGTGCTGTGATTACAGGAGTGAGCCACTCCACCCAGCCAGAAAACACCATTTCTAAAACAGTTATATATTGTATAATCATACTCATAAATTTCTATAAAGTTGTATGTGCATATATCAATTTTTAGATAGTAAGTACTGGGTGTATGTTAGCTATTATTGCTAACTATTAGTTTGCCTGAAAGGCCATCCATATAATTGTTAAGAAATAGAAAAAAGCCCATGTAAAAGCCAGCAGCCTACATTCCAATAAACCAATTTTCCTTATTAAAATAAATATGGTTAGAAATACTTAAGAACTATCCCTGGTGTTGTATACTTTTACAACAAAGATGGAATGACATAGTTAAATGAGATGAGCAAAGAAAGTTTTACCAAAACACAAACCATTATGAAAGCAAAACTAAACATACGTGGCACAGCACTTTGAAAATGGCTGGGATTAAATTCAATAAGTTGTCTTCTGAGCTCATTTACTCCAACACCAGAGGGTCCTAAACATAAAAAGTCACACACAGAAATCATCAGATGTGGATATATATAATTATGCGATGGAATCATCATTTTAGTCCTATTGAAACTTGAGAGCAAATATTTTTAGGGAAATTATGTAACTTCCTTTCTCATAAATTGGAAGAACCCCAGAAAACTTTTGGGAATTTTTCTAGTGACCCATGGAATAACCCACATTGCTTCAACATTCAGGAATGAGGTAAGGAATTGCAGGAACCTGACCCCCAGCAAACTCTATCTAATGTTGAATGCCATGAGAATTAGCTGGTCTCATTTTAGAGAATCACAGAGCTCTGCCTTTCCTTCTCAAATGAAGTTTTTATCAAGTCACAACCAGAAACCAGCCTTGACAATTATAGGTTCTGTGACTTACAGAATTCAGGGGTACATTCCTGACAGGTGATTGAGTAAGCACCCCCATGTCCAGCTGGAGGCAGGGCTGCCTTTGTGGGTATAGAATCTGTGCAGTTACACATGGCCCATGCTTAGAAGGATACTGTGCTTGGATGAATTATCTGCTATTGTATCTTGAAATCCTTGATAATGTTTTAACCAGGGGCCCTTGCATTTGCATTTTACAATGGGGCCTGCATATGATATTGCTGGTCCCAGCCGTAAGGCACATCGTTCTGCTCTACAGGGACCTGCCTTGCTCATGAAGCTAAACACGCAGACAGGAAGGCAGTAGGATACAAGTTGCTACTGCTACAGGGACCAGCTTTGCAAAAGTCATGGGCACAAAAGCAGGTCACTCCTGCACTATATTTGCCATGATCTTTACAAAGCACCAAAGATACAGTCCAGAAGATGTTACTTTTCTTTATAAATGAGGTAATTACAAATTTCTTAGGAGATTGGACTTGAAGAATTTAACACATTTCTCAGGGAAATGGACGTTAACAATTTATTTTCATGATACAGGTTAATGATCTGTCTGGGGAAACACTCATCTATGTTTACAGAACAATTCTAAGCAGGCAAAAAAAAAATCTCAGTCATAACGACATCATAATACTTGTTATATAACAAGTAACTATATAGTTCATGGACACCATGGCATACCACATTCACTTGTAGATTTTTTTAAAAAGCTTGATACAATACAATGTTACTTATAAACCCACAGTACAATGGTTTTATTTTGTTTTTTAAAAAAGGTATTTGTATGGGGGTCCATAAAGAGTTCTACTTTTACCATCATTCCCAATATGAGACACCTGAATCTAGAAGGAAAACTCCTCAAGGAGGAGGAGAGAGAGTGCATGCTGGGACATACCCATGAGCACTATGAGGCGGTACTTGTCTGAAGGGCGTCGCTGGTACCTCACCACCTCCTCGTAAGGGGCACCCACTGCACTGTAGCAGCTGCCGGTGCAGCACACACTGGCATGCAGCGGGCTGAGGTGAGACTTCCTGCGACACAGGCGCATGCTGCGGCGGAAGCCAGCTAGGGAGGGGAAGTGCACAGAACATAAGAACCAGGCAGGAGAGATCACTTGTAGCCTCACGCCTGATGAAATATGTAGCAACCATGATCCTAAAGTGTTCGTTAATATAGTCACGTCTGTCTGAAGTTAGAAGACGGGAAGTCATATGAGGGAAACATACGAAAATGCCCCCTGGGCTAGCCCGTCTCGCACCTGCTCTGGGCCAGGTATTGTCCTGGGTGCTGGGGAGAGAGGGCTCAACTAATCCAAGGCCACATTCTTATGAAATCTGCATTTTGTAGAAGGGGAGAGACAGAAATTAAAAAAAAAAAAATAAGTACTTAGAAGAAGATGAGGTAGATAGAGACTGATGGGGGTGCTTTTTTAGATAGGCAGTAAGGTTAGAGTATCTCTGAAAGGTTGGCATTGAGCAGACATCTGGAGGAAGGCAGGGAGCCAGATCAGGAAGCCTCTGAGGAGACAGGCAAGCCAGGTCAAGGGAACTGCAAGTGCAGTGGTGCAGAGAAATGAACTGTGCTTGGAGCATTTGAGGAACAGCAAGGAAACCTGGGTAGCTGCAGGGCAGTAAGCAGCAGGGAGTATGAAACAGGGTAGGGGGAAGTGGCTGGAGCCAGATCACATAGGGCCTCTGAAAAGTGTTGGATTGTTGTGGAAGTGTGACGGGAAGCTGTTGGCGGTGGCATGATTGGATTCATGTTTCTGAAAGATTCCTCTGGTTGGTGTAAACATAGAGAGAGCAAGTGTGGCCTCAGGGGAGAGCAGTTAGGAAGCTACTGCCGTGGTCTGAATGAGGGATGAGGGTGGCTTGGGCCAGGGCAGAAACAGTGGAGCAGGCTCATTTTTCACATTTTTCAGGTGGTTTCACTAAGACACAGACAGATCAGGTGGTTGCTTAGGACTGTGTGGTCAGTGCAAAGTTGGACACATGGATCATGATTTCTAAGCTCCTAGATTCCTGCTTCATCTGCCTTGTGAATCATGGGACTTTCTGGTATCTTCAGAGCTGTTTGCAGGTCCTCTCAGTAGACAGTTAGCAACTCTATGTGTACATATAAATACACATGCACACTTCAATCTATATTTGTATGTCTATATATTGAAAACCGTGAGTTCACACCAGTACCTACAATGTCAATCCAACACTAGAGGATTCATTCTAGACTTCCCCTTTCCATGTTTATAACTCCCTTCTCTAACAGTGAGAACCCTGGTCCTTGTTGTCCTCAATACATTTGCTTATTGTATCAATCAAGAGCACTTAAGTGTGCAAGATAGGGGACAGACAATGTCAATCGCCTCGCAGAAATTGTCAGAGCCCAAGCTGGATGAGGCGGGCATCTTTGTAAAGTCTGTTGGGCATCAGAGGCCAAGTGATGGCAGCGGACCTCTTGATTTTACTCTGGCTCTGACAACCTGCACCAGGCTACCATTGTCCCCTGCACAGATGCCTTCCTTACTCTGCTCATGCTCCTTACTCTCCACCTTTGTGTAGCTGCATACTCTGCTCAGCTCTACCTGATAGCTTTTAGGCTGAATGATTCTGAAAGCAATACAGAAAGGTGGCCCCTTGTTTTCGTTTTTTGTTTTTTGTTTTGTTTTGTTTTTTCACACTCCCCTGATGATTCCAAAATGCATCCAGCTTGGGAACCAACCTTCTAGTTTAGAGACCCTCCAGCTCTGCTAGTCTTCCCCTGCCTCCCTATAGAAGGAAGCCCAGAGCAGTTTTAGATGAGTGGTACCTGGTCCTACAAAAAACTCTGCCCAGGTGACAGACTATAGAAATGTGGCCATAAGAAGTAAGTTTAAAAGTCAGAGACTTTGTCTCTTTAGTGTAAGATAAATAGGTTATGAAACAGTCTGAAAGAAAACAAAAAGATTTGTGTTTGGTGAGTAATTAATAGATACCCAGTGGAAATTAGATGAATAACAATGAATAATTAACAGATCAGAATATTGACAAGAATAAAGGACAGAAAGAAAAGGAAACTAGAACGAGGAACAGGTTTGGAAATGTCCATCAGCAAAAGAAGCTTTCAAAACAGTGTCAGGCTTGGAAACGTAATTTAACAAGTGACAGAGACCCACCTCGTATTATCACCTACCTATAAAGAACTTCTGACCATAGCCAACAAATTCCTCCTTGTCTACAGAGAACAGCAGGAGCAGAATATGTGAGAGCAAGAAGTTTATTTAGAACAAATTCACGAAATTATCTTCAACTTTTCAAGTGACTACCTTAGCAGATGGCAGCAGAGTTGAATTTATCCTTGAGTGGCTCATTGAATGTTCTAAGTATTTTTCATCCTGTTATTCACACACAACAAACTACAGAGATGCAGTTCACAGAATTTGAGCATTATACTGAATGTATTCTGTCTAGTATGGTTAAAGCCAAAACCAGTTTATTAATTTTTTAAAATAAGTTTCCTTAGGATATATTTAAAAATACATATCCAACTTTTATGTTTTTACTATGATTCAATATCTTATAACTTTAAACAAGCTTAAAGTGGCTCTTTGTTTTATTTATTTATTTATTTATTTATTTATTTATTCCGCTCTTGTTGCTCAGTCTGGAGTACAATGGTGCTATCTCAGCTCACTGCAACCTCCATCTCCCAGGTTCAAGCAATTCTTCTGCCTCAGCCTCCTGAGAAGCTGGGATTACAGGCATGCACCACCATGCCTAGCTAATTTTTGTATTTTTAGATGTATTTTGTATTTTTAGATGAGAGATGGCGTTTCACCACGTTTGTCAGGCTAGTCTCAAACTTCTGATCTCAGGTGATGCACCTACCTTGGCCTCCCGAAGTACTGGGATTACAGGCGTGAGCCTTGTTCTTGACCATACTGTTTATAACATTATTTTTTTCTGCAGCTCCTATAATTAATCTCTTTGCTAGATACGGGTTTTTATTTTCTCCCTCTTAAAAGGATTCATTTTATATAAAATAAGATTTGCTCTATGGCTGCCAAATGTTTCTGGTTGGCCAGGACTCTGAGAGACAAAATGCGGAAAACTGTGCCCAGTGCCTCCGAGGCATCTAGAGATAGTTCAAACTCCTGTTTCTCCTTCCATTGAGACCTCAGAAAAAAACTCCAGAAAAAAAGTTATAAGAATATTATTTTCAAATTACTTTTTACTTAAGTTCCTTTTCATTTATACAGCTCTGCTCTAATCATTTAAGTAATATATGACCAAATGTGGTGGCTCACGCCTGTAATCCCAGCACTCGGAGGCCGAGGCGGGCAGATCACTTGAGGTCAGGAGTTCGAGACCAGCCCACCCAACATGGTGAAAGCCCGCCTTTACTAAAAATACAAAAAATTAGCCAGGCATGGTGGCTTGTGCCTGTAGTCCCAGCTACTTTGGAGGCTGAGGCAGGAGAATCACTTGAACTTGGGAGATGGAGGTTGCAGTAGGCTGAGATCACACCACTGCCCTCCAGCCTGGGCAACAGAGAGAGACTTTGTCTCAAATATAAACATATACATAAAATATAAAGAGCATTTATTAAGACAATGAACTGACATATGCAACCTTTTTTCTTAACCTTTATTTTTTTAAAAAGTGTTTTAAAATACAAAGAAAGAAAACACACCAATATCAATTCCATCTTCTGGTAAGCATGTACATTTTCTCACTTAGCTATGTCAATAAGTTTAAAAAAAAATGTTTTCTTGGGGATATATTCATAAAGCTTAATTATTTTTATTGTTCTTTTAAATGCTATCTATGAAACTGAATATTTAATCATTGATTTCACCTACAAAATATCATATCCTTGGAGAACCTCATAAACTTAGTTTGGAAGTGTGTTTCCTGGGGAAAAAATGTAAATATGAAGGAAAAACCATAAACAACAACAAAACAAATACCGTATCTTCATCTTAAACATTATCCGGGCAAGTATTCATTTTGAGGCACTGAAAGATCTTAAATATAGTTCTATTTGGTGTATCTAGGAAATAAAAACAATTACCTTCGGAAAGTTCCTCTGGAGATTTGGGTAGGTGCAGAAACAGACATGAAAAGGTAAGCCTTTAAGAAGATCGTGTTAGTCATCAAATCAAGGCAAATGACATAAGCAAGACATTCACGTCACTACTAGCAAAAGGTAAGTTGGGTAAGGCCTGGCAAGGCAAATGATCACCACGTGATTGGGCCTGAGAAACTGGTTTGCCCTGACTCCACTGCTTGTGACAGTACCTTTTTCTGAAAGTTGCCTATCAAGACTCTCCCTGAAGGCTTTTTAACCCAGGAAGACTCTACTTGGTTGGCACAAAATGGAGCTTGAAAGGGAGAACTTAAAGGAAAGTAACAGGTTTGAGCCTTCTCTCTCCTCTCTCCCCGAGGCAGTATTGCAGCAGCTCTGTGAAGGGGAGGAAGTGGTAGAAATGGTGCTGGGGGCCGGGCGCGGTGGCTCAAGCCTGTAATCCCAGCACTTTGGGAGGCCGAGACGGGCGGATCACAAGGTCAGGAGATCGAGACCATCCTGGCGAACATGGTGAAACCCCGTCTCTACTAAAAATACAAAAAAATTTAGCCGGGCGAGGTGGCGGGCGCCTGTAGTCCCAGCTACTCGGGAGGCTGAGGCAGGAGAATGGCGTAAATCCGGGAGGCGGAGCTTGCAGTGAGCTGAGATCCGGCCACTGCACTCCAGCCTGGGAGACAGAGCGAGACTCCGTCTCAAAAAAAAAAAAAAAAAAAAAAAAGAAATGGTGCTGGGGCTGGTGCTGCAGCAGCCTCTGGCCCGAGCAAGCGTCCTCATTCCTTCCCCTTCCTGGGTCTCACACACTTCCATTCCCAGCTACCCCTTGAAGACAGAGGAAACTGAATATGAAGCAAACTGTTTTCTTTGTTTTCTAGACATCACAAAATAGCCATATTCTGTTTTTGGTTTGTTTGTTTTGAGATGGAGTCTCCTCTGTCACCCAGGCTGGAGTGCAAATGGCGCTATCTCGGCTCACTGCAACCTCTGTCTCCCCGGTTCAAGCAATTCTCTCACTTCAACCTCCTAAGTAGCTGGAATTATAGGCATGAGCCACCACGCCTGGCTAATTTTTGTATTTTTAGTAGAGACGAGGTTTCACCATGTTGGCCAGGTTGGTCTTGAACACCTGACCTCAAGTGATACACCCGCCTAGGCCTCCCAAAGTGCTGGGATTAGAGGCATGAGCCACCATGTCCAGCCTTTTTTTTTTTTTTTTATTGACACTTCTGATTAAATAAACTACACCATCACCTCGTCACCTCCTGGGGAAATTCAAGGAAGTCATACTATACTTTATTCAGACTACAGACCGAAACTGAAGAAACTTAACTGCTCACGAAGCAGTCTAAGTAACAAAATTAAGCATCATGGAATGAATGCCAAGGGTTCTATGCTTAGAAAATATGCCAGCTGGGTGCTAACTGTTCCTTAATTGAGCTCCTAAGAAAGCTGGGTTCAGAACCAATCAATGCTCGAGAGTTCTCTCTTTTCCAGCTGAGAGGAGTCCACAAGGGGCGCTCTAGAGTAGGCAACTCCCTCTGCAGTGCTGTTCACCAGGAACTGGCTGCTGACTCCCGCAAGGAACAAGATTTCACAATAATAACACCTGCTAACACTTGTGCAGCACTTCCTGTGTGCCAGGCACTGTTCTAAGCACTTTATTCATATAAATTATTGTTCCCATTTTAGACGTGAGGAACCTGAAGGGCAGAGAGGTTAACAGCCGGAGAACCTGCAGTTAGTGAGTAATGAACCCAGGGTTCAAACTGGCCGATCTGGCTGGACTCTGGTCTCATCCACTGCCTCTCCTTCCACAGACCCACAGACACTCCCCGGCCTCAACCACAGCCTTCGCATGTGGAGTGTTTTCCAGTGGAATAGAACAAAGAAGGATGAGAATAAGCTAGAGAAATTAAAAACTAAGCCAATCCCAAACACTGGGCAAGTATAAATAATCAATTAAATTATTTATAACAGGCCAACCATCTAATGGAAAATAGGGCATTTTGAAACAACATAAATGTAAATAATTTAGAAAAGTGGTTCACAACTCATCTGTCTCAATGCTCTCTTTTTTTTTTTATAACTAATATTTGGAGCAATCTCTCTACTTTTATGAAAGGAAACTCATAGATGGCATAATCTACCACACATGTAATTTAAAAAATCAATACAATGCTCCAGCTATAACATAAAAAAAAAAAAACATTTTAAAGGAAGTAATTTATATTTTTAAAAATATATATGTATTTTAAAAGTATATACATACGAGGCAGGAGGATCACTTGAGGGCAGGAGTTCAAGACTAGCCTGAGCAACATGGAAACCCGTCTCTACTAAAAATACAAAAATTAGGTGGGTGTGATGGTGCACACCTATAATCCCAGCTACTCAGGAGGCTGAGGCATGAGAATCACTTGAGCCTGGCAGGTGGAGATTGCAGTGAGCCCAGATCACACCACTGGACTCCAGCCTGGGTGACAGAGTGAGACTCTGTCTCAAGAAAAAATTTTTTTTAAGTATACATATCAAAATATAAATCCTCGGGCATAACATCTTTGAAAGACCTAAGAAACTACTAGATGCTTATATTAATATTTACTTATAACAAAGAAGCATGGATTCAAGAGAATTTAAAAAATCAGAAAATATTCCTTATATGAAGTACAGAAAAATACAAAAGAAACAGGTGGACACTAGAATAAAAAGTGTTTTGGTAAGTAATAAAAGGCTAGATTTATTCGTATGTGATAAGAGAAAGAAGGAAATTGCCTTAATTGAGGTAAAGATAATATGCCAAAGCAATTAGAGACCAATGAAATGGAGAAAATAAGGAAAAATAATATGCCTGGAATTGGGTGGGTCATGTTAACATGCCCTAGCAGGTTTGCAGTTTAAAGATAAAATTCTGTGGGGCCTATTTTGTTTTTAATGATTTCAACATTATTTTGAGGGACAGACACTTGATACTTACCGTATGTCATCAATAATAACAAATAATATATTAAAGAAAATTAATTCAGTATAGATATACTTTCCAGTTTATTTACTAGCAATATCGAGTAGACAGGATACATGGAATAAATCATTCAATAATTGCAAGGCAATGTCTGCATTCTGTTTGAATGTCTCTCTCCATAATGACTGTCTTCTAAACCACTGTGTTTCTCATGCTAAATCTTATGAAAACTTTTTGTGTGTTGAAAAATGACCCTTTTATATTTGTAACAAGTTTTGTCCAGCAGGACATTCAGAAGATATGTGGGTCAAGAGACACCAGTTAAAGGCCAGGAGTATCCCCCAATCAATGTGACAATAAAAAAATGCTCCCAAAGAGTTCCAAAATGCTGCATCAGGGACAGTACTAGCCCTGTGAGAAGTACTGGTTAAGGTAAAATCTACATTTCACAACTGCACTGTTGCTGTATTTTTTAAAATACATTTTACTGGGACCAGGTGTGGTGGCTCATTTTGGGAGGTCAAGATGGGAAAACCACTCGCGGCCTGGAGTTGGAGACAAGCCTGGGCAACACAGTGAGACCTATATCTACAAAAAAATTGAAAAATTAGCCATGCATGGTGGCATGGGACTGTAGTCCCAGCTACTTGGGAGGCTAAAGTGGGAGGATCACCTGAGCCAAGGAAGTGAAGGCTGCAGCGAGCTATGATCATACCACTTGCACCTCAGCTTGGGCAACAGACTGAGACCCTGTCTCAAAATAAATAAATAAATTAGCCAGGTGTGACGGCATATGCCTGTAGTTCCAGCTATTTGGAAGGCTGAGGTGGGAGGATCGCTTGACCTCAGGAATTCGAGGCTACAGTGAGCCATGATCACACTGCTGCACTCCAACCTGAGTGACAGAGAGATTTTGTCTCAAAAAAATTAAAAATTAAAATTAAAAATAAATTTTAAAATGTATATGTGAGATTGACAACATGATGTGGGATACATATAGTTACTTTTTAATTTTTTTTACTGTTGATATAAACAATTATTATAACCCTAAATATGTGTATAAATTGCATCAAAATTTGGAATATACATTTAAAAATCATTACCAAATACTCATTGTTTTTACTCACCAGATTCAAATGTTTCTTCATCTATGATTTTCCATGGAGGCAAAAATAAAAAATGTTATTACATGACCATCTACACTGAGTCTATATTTTAAGTCTAATTCTCTGGCCCCCTACTTCTGCCCATACACCACCTTTTAAGTTTTTTTCCTAAATCAAGGTCAAATCGATGGTGTCTCTATGGCATATATCAACTTTAAATGAAAGACATGGTATTCGGCAGCTGAGCCATGATGACAGTCAGGGGTGCAGCAGGAGCTCAAAATAAATAAAATAATAGAGGATAAATAAAATAAAATGTAAAAAGCTCAGAGGGAAGGGGAAAGTGGAATGTCAGGGAAACCTGTAGAGATTGTTGGCTACTGCTCAGCTTTGCTGCAGAGGGCTTGCCGATGTAGGAGGGGTGCACCCTGCCTGAAGAGTTGGAGACCCACAAATGGGGGTGATGGCGAGGAGAGTGAGCATATGAACGACTTGATTACGTTGGCTTGATCAGGTGGCTGAGAAGGATGTGAGATAAACCAACTTCCTCATTAGTTAAAACAACTCTTGTTAGCATTTTAAAGAGAGATTAAGGATTAAGAAACATACATGGAAGGCAATTTGAAATATATGGCAACATTGCCAATGCATGCATCCTTGGATCAGGCAATGCTGCATCTAAGGTATTCTCATGCATGTAAAATGATATATTTATAAAGCAATTCATTGTAGCACTGTTTATAATAGAAACAAATGGACGTAACACAAACGCCTACAAATAAGTGATTGTATCAGTAGGCAATAACCAATAAGCTGTTAAAAAAAATAAGGACAAGTCTCTTCATGTGCTAAGATAGAGTCACCTCCAAGATTTAGAATGTTAAGTTAGAAAAGCCAGGAACAGAACAGTGTGCATTTCATGCTATCAAAGGGTATGTGCATTTGGATTTAGAAAAAAAGATGGGGATGATGAAGTTGGGAGGAGAAATACACACATCATTGCTTTTTTTTGTTTGTTTTTGTTTGTTTTTTTTTTTTTGAGATGGAGTCTCGCTCTGTCACCCAGGCTGGAGTGCAGTGGCACTATCTCTGCTCACTACAAGCTCCGCCTCCCGGGTTCATGCCATTCTCCTGCCTCAGCCTCCCGAGTAGCTGGGACTACAGGCGCCCGCCACCATGCCCAGCTAATTTTTTTTGTATATTTTTTAGTAGAGACAGGGTTTTACCGTGTTAGCCAGGATGGTCTCGATCTTCTGACCTCGTGATCTGCCCACCTCGGCCTCCCAAAGTGCTGGGATTACAGGCATGAGCCATTGCGCCCTACCACATCATTGCTTTTTTGTGCACAGAATATGTCTGGGGTGATACTGAAGAAATTATTAACATTTATTGCCCCAAGAAAGAAAAATGAGTAGGAGAACATGGAAAGGGAGGAACTTCTTACTGAATATAGCTTTGTAGTTATTAAATTTTGAACTCTGTGAATTATTACCTAATAAAAATATAATGAAAATTGTAGAAAGGAAATGAATATTACTGCAAGTTTTTTTAAAAAAGTATACTTGGTAAAATAAACATAATGTCAGCAGTATTCTGCAGTTGTTCTGGAAAATATATGTGAATCATTGAAATGCCCACTGTTTCAAAATTTTATATTGTTCTTTCACTTCTAAGAATTAGACTAGCCTATAAAGCAAAGACAGATTCACCTATCAGACTAAGGTTCTCCAACTGGTCTCCTAACAAAATCCTAGTGATTTTTAAGCCGGTCTTTTTTCTGCCACTAAATTTGAAAAATCTTTTCCCAATTTACAAAAAAATTAAAGAATAGAAATGTAAAAAACTTTCATGCATGTCTTCTCATTTTGGAACCTACTACTATTTATCTATACTAGAATCCACCAGAAGATGGCATCAAACTTAATAATAAAATATATATTGCTCTTTAAAAATTTGATACTGCAATATTTTATGTTATTTCACAAAGAGCAGAGGTTTCCAAGTGTTCTACCATCTGATATGCTGAGTGTTACTAAGTGTTCCTGAGATCATTTACAAAGCGCTGCTTTCTAGAACATTTTCTAGTAGATCAGTGGGAACCTGGAGACATTACCACAGCTTCTCCTTCTAACGGCCAGAACTACAGAAGAAAGATAGGGGTGGAGGGTCATTTTACACATTTCTCCCAGAGGAAAGGCCCATGGCCCCTTTGGACACCTCTACTTCAGATCATCTATAATTGATATGCTTCATATTTCTTCTAACAGCAAAGCAATCAAGAGAAAATGTTACCTGCTTCCACACATTTCTCATCAATCTTCATGTCATCGTCTATAAAAGAGTACAGAAAGGGAGAAACAGAATTTAACATGTGTCTGCATTAAAAACAAAAGTCCATGGCCAGGCATGGTGGCTCACGCCTGTAATCCCAGCACTTTGGGAGGCCAAGGCGGGCAGATCACCTGAGCTCAGGAGTTCGAGACCAGCCTGACCAACATGTTGAAACCCTGTCTCTACTAAAAATATAAAAATTAGTCAGGTATGGTAGCGCACACCTATAATCCCAGCTACTTGGGAGGCTGAGACAGGAGAATCGTTTGAACCCGGGAGGCAGAGGTTGCAGTGAGTCGAGATAACGCCATTGCACTCCAGTCTGGGCAAAAAGAGCAAAACTCTGTCTAAAAAATAAATAAATAAATAAAAATTAAAAATTCCCTATGTATGTCAATAAAACTCATAAAATAAACATAAAAAACTATGTATGTCAATAAAACTCCATCCACCTTATGATAAA